ATAATACGCTGTGTTTGAGTCCTAGCATGCTGGCCTTCTGGGTCTCTAAGTCCTTAGTCTGAGTAACATCTTTGCTGTTTCTTTCCTTTCAGTTGCTAGTACATTTCCTCTGCAGTGCTAGAGAGGAATGATGTTGGCAGTTCAGAAAATCCCCACAGCACCCTGAAATCCTTTTACTACAGTACCAGACCTGTGGGCATCCCGATTTGTTTCATTTCTTTATGGACACACAAGCTGTGCATGTACTGCACAGGTTATGTGAAGCTTCCAAACACCTTTCATCTTTTAGAGGATGTGACACTTACAGTGAGAAATAAAACATTTACTCTTTCAGGTTCTGTTTTCTTATCACTCTAGGTTGTTCTTTGGCCTTAGTTCCTCTTTTTAGGATCCTTCCTCTCCACCAGCATACAGCCCCTTCGGTCTTCTGGAACTGGCTGTGTAACTGGCCAGAGTACAGAGCCTGCTTTCTCAAGTCACTTGGAGATCAGCCTCTTGGATTATCAAAATTGCCAGTATGACAGCAGCCTGAGAGAGAAGAACAACTGTTCTGGCTTCTTTTCTTATCTCTTATTCTTATTTTGAATAAGAGTTCTTATTTGCGCATTCCTTAGGCTTTGTTCTTCTCGTTCTATGAATGTAGACACAGTCTTGATTATGAAACTGCTGATAGTAGTTAATCGTGCCTGGTTTGGTTTTTGTTTTTATTTTGTTTGGGTTTTTTGTTGGGGGTGTGTGGTATCTTTCTGTTCCTATTTAATAGACAGTATGAGTTCTGCCTTCAACCTGTGAACAATTTGTGGTGAAATGGTAGCACAATTCCCACTTCCCATCCCTGTCTTCTCCTCTCCTCACTCAGCCTGTGATCAGTTGCTTTAGGAATCCTATAATGGGACATTAGCAATGAGTAATTTTTTAAACTTCTTGCCATTGCATTGTGTTGATTAGCATGCTACTTCCATAAGTTAAAATAAATTGAATAAATTTGACAGCTCGCTGGGTACATTGTATCCAGAAATAAGATTCTAATATTAAATTGTAATTTGAGAAAGAGAGGGGCAGGTATTTACTGTCCTTAAATAACCTAACTTTTGGTAGAGTGCTCTGTGTGCGTGTGTGTGCATGCACACTAATGGCCGAACTCCCTTTGTTTTAGGGAGATTCTGGAGGTCCCTTGGCCTGCGCAGGAAAGGGAAATAGATGGTACCTCGCTGGCATTGTGAGCTGGGGTGAAGGATGTGCTCGGCGCAATCGTCCTGGTGTATACACTAAGGTGACAGCACTTTATGACTGGATTCGTCAGAATACAAACTGATGTGCCAAGGAGAAAATGCAGATCATCTCCCTTATGAAAGCTGCTTCCTACAGTAATCTACCACATCCACCTCTGGTGATATAACATGAAAATGCCATTGGCTGTTTCTTTGTGAAAGAATGCACTTTCTTAGTGCAGAAACTGTCATTTGTTGTTCACCTAGCAGTAACAGCTCAGATACAGAGCAACTTCAGATTCCTTACGGATTTATTTTCCTTGTACTCGGCAGCAGAAACAGCACTGCCTTAAAAACAACATGAAATGGATTAGAACCTGTAACAAAAATCCAGCCAAATCTTTCTTTTGCAAATCTTCTCCCCTCCTTCCATCCCCCTTGCTATGTATATATCTATATATGTTTCCACATACACATATCTGGATATTCATGCCCATGTCCCATATAAACTTAATTCATATATGTTACCTTAGTGATATTACAGGATTCTAAACATAAATAATTATTTCATGTTTGTTGAAAATACAAGTACTATAATCAGTAGAGCGTACAAAGCTGAGACTAATTCATTCTCTAGTTACGCGGCTACTGCATGACTGTTCCTTTCTGGGCTGTAACTTTTGGACTGTCTCCTGTGTTTTCCTAAAAACATCAGATATATAGCTCATAAATGTTCGGAAGCAAGAAATTTTTGTTAAAGAACTGGAAGACCATCATTTAGGTTCTTTGGGATGATGTTTAAATAAGAGGAAAGAAATACTCCGTTTTAATTAATTAAACAAAAGGAAATTTTCATGCTTTCTTACATCATCTCTACAATTTGAACATAGTTGTAGGGTCTGATGTTTGCAATATTTTACACGTGTATTTTCCCAGCTCTGGCACGCTTTGTGAATTTTAGCATGCTTCTGTTGGGTTCGTGCTGCTTTTCCTGATGTCCTTGCTCTGCAGCAAGCAGAGTTTCAGGGTCAGGATTTTTGGTTTATATCTCTTCCTGGGCTGTGCCCACATGGCCTTGAAAGGGGGACGTAAAAGGAAAAGGGATTTTTGTCATTGGATGCATCCTTAGACTCAAAGTAAAAGAGAAAATGACAGCTACATTCCTTTAACCCTAGAAGTAAATCTAGCTTTAATAATTCTAATATCCTGATGAGACAATCAGTCCAAATCTAGCTGGTTTAAGGCTTCCAAAGCTGTTTACGGGACTTAAGAATGCTGGTATTCAGTTTAATAAAAATCTGTCTAGATGGTCTTAAAATTGCATTCAGTATTTGGAAGTGTTTAGCTTTCACCTTTAATGTATAAAAAAAAAACAAAAAAAAAACAAAAAAACAACAAAGCCAGAAATTTGAATACCAGACATTGCTGTCCACACAGCACACTTCTATTCTACAGTACCTAAATATATGATTCTTGTTTAGTTTTAGACCCACCTTGGCAGCATGTGGGGAAAAACACTGGAATGAGCCAGCACTGTAAGCTGCGTGCAGTGAGATTCCTGCGTCTAACACTTGATACTGTTTGCCTACCTTGTTTTGTGCTACTGTTGGGCATTTCCGCCCTACAATGCTTGTGTCAAACTTAACTACATAAGCTATACTCAAAGCCTCTATTTTAGGGGGTTTATTATCTTTAAAGGCTAGTCAGTCATTCACATCTTTCTTTTTAATAAACACATGCTAAAAACGAAAGTGGCTATGTTTTATTTGTTTGATTATACCTCTGAAACTCTAATCACCAGGTGCAATCAGAACTACATTTGTACCTTGGAGTTTCCTCTTTTTGTAAAGCTGAGCTTAACTTGCCTGTTTTACTAAAGTGCACTTTTAAAGGCACAAGTTTCTTTTCCTTATATTGAAACCAGAGATGTCTTCGCTACGGAAGAAAAGAGTTGTCCTGCTGTTCTGTTTTAGATAAAAGCCTAGGCCAGAAAGTTCAGATCAGTTCTTGACTTCCCGTTTTCTTTAAGAGTTTCTCAGCTCCATGCATCAGAAGGGTCAGTTACGTCATATGCAAGGAAGGCACCGAGTGTGGTGGTGGATCACCCAGATGAAAGAAACTCAAGACTTGGCAAGGAGCTCCTTCACAGAGGTAAATAAAAGGACTTTGGCTTTTGTAGGGTGAGATCCATAATCATTAACTCATTTGCCTTAGAAAAACTGTTTTAGTTTCAGGCAATTCAGTAGGTAAGTAAGGTCTTTTACTGTGGGTGGAAATAAATGAAGGTCATATCCAGCAGGAGTACTGAGAACCAGTAGGTAAAGGCTTTTTCTAGTGAAGATGCCCCAGGTAAAATCTTGTAGATCCAGACACACGTTTTGATCTTGATGACTGCTCAGCTTCATCCTCAGTCCTCCAGAGTTTCAAGGATTCTACAGAACCAAAAGGTGGGCTGTGCAATTTGTATTTCTTTTTATTTGCACAATTAAACCAAGATGTGGGCTCAGCTTGATGGAGTGCCTTTGCCTGGACGGCTGTGACATGACACCAGGAATCTGAACCCCTGGGGATGCTCCAGGCAAGAGTAGCCAGATGACTTGCACAATGGGAAAATCTGGGGGGAGGAAAAACATCCTCAGCATTTGGCAGGAAAAAGAAGGAACAGTGCTGTGAGTGGATGCTCAGTCAGCAAGGGAGGGAGTTGGAGAAAGAAGCTTTGTTTTCCTCTTAATGCATGGTCCTCTCTGTGCTGGGACAAGAGAGTGAGCAAGAGTGCAGTTACTGGTTGCCTGCCCAACCCTTTTGATCCAGAGGGGAGAAAGGCGCTCTGTGTGGAGGAAGGAGAAACATGAGGATGGAGTCAAAACAGGAGAAATGAGAGGAGGTAGGATGAAGGATACTGGGGGAACAGGGGGAGGAAACAGCCCCTGGCTGCAGTAAGTTGTTATGAGTGGCTCTAAGTAGCATGGGAGAGTTAGTGCGGGAAGCTAGTGCGGATCAGATCTCAACTCACACCATGATTTGCTTCATAAAACCATACCCTGTAGAGCATAGGCTGAAATTGAAGCCCACCTTCCTCCTCTCTTCAGATTTGTCCTTTTGTTTTTTTACATGGAAGCGGCTTCTTATGTTTCAGTTGAATAGTATGTGAATAGACATAAATGGATCTTTAGCACCAAACATGATTTTAGGCTACGTAACAGCTAGAGAGAGGACAACTCACGGCACAAAGGTGGGTAGCGTTCACTTCTTTACTGACTATACAGGAAGACTAAAATTAAAAGTGTTGATGGATATTGTAAGTTCCCTTCACAGCCTAACCGAACCACAAGCTATGTGATCCTTTCGTTAGCTTATGCTGTTCAGAACCACATCTGTTTGTTTATCTGTGCAATAACAGCAATAGTATTTTACTGTTTCGGCTGACAGCAGCAGGGAAAGCAATCCGTTTCCTTTCAAAATTGCCTCAGCAAATGACAGCATTGCTGAAGGTTTAGTCACCTGCTTGTGCTTGTCAAGGGCTGGTACAGTAAGGCAGACAAACTGGAAAACCTAGTATTGCACAGCTGAGGGCTGTAGTTCTGGCGACTAGGCAAATCGATACTTCCTCCACCTCCCGTTTCTCCGTAGCTAGTGCAGATGACGTTATTTGTCCTTTCAAGGAATTCCCCTTATTTATCAGTGTTTTGAGATCGCTCCTGTGAAAACTATCCCGACTCTCACTGTTACCGTCTCCAGCCTCTTACCAGAACTGCTACTGACCATAACTGCTGCTGAAACCAGAAGGAAATGAGTTGCCTCCGCGCTTGCTTCAGAGACAGAGGTCCTCGTGCAGAGACAGAAGCTATGAAAAGGCAAAGCTCTGGTCAGGAGCATGAGATTATTGAATTACAAGAAGATAATGTGGAGAAAAGTGAGACTGATCGTGCCAAGCCTCTAAATACTCAAACAAGAAAGGTAGGAATTTCACTTGCTCATTTCATGCTTGCTGTTGGGGAAAATTCCACACAGGACGAGAAATGACGCTTTGCAGGAACATCCTGTGAGGGTGGTATTATTTGTCGTTTGAGGGAGAGGAAAAGGTTATTCACTTGAAAGTAAAGGCTGAAAACCTGTTAAACTTACTTCTTTTCTTCTTCTCAATGAAGTGTTCTAATATTGGAGTGGGATTTTAAGCTTTTTTATTTTTTGGTGCTTGGCTCTTTGTGAACTTTAACTTAGAAAATGAAGTTGTAATTGGTACGCTGAGTTTTGCTTTCTCTAAAATCATGTGCTGTCAGTGGGATTGGGCTCAAAACCAGAAAGGAGAAAAGTTGAAACCCATATTAAAACCAGGTTTTCTTTCAGAACAAATTAATCAAAAACAGCATTGCCAAAACAGAAATAGGATGTCCTGCAACAGACCATGCTGGATTCTCTCTCGTTTTAGCTTTGAGTAATTTGCAGTTGCTAACAATTATGAATTTGTATGAGTAGAGTGCCCCAAAGCCTCAGTTAAGACCAGCTTGTGAGTCCTGAGGGAGGTAGCTCCAAGTGTTTAGCTCAAAGCTATGGAACAGACTAATGCTGGCAGAGGAGTAATATATGCTCATAGGTGACTGTCGTACAATGATTTTCATTACTTACTCCAGAGCAGAGGGAATATCTATGGCAGAGCTAAGAAGTTTCCCACTTTTCTGCAGGGATGGCCGAGCCCTCCCGAGCGCTCGGCTGCATTAGTCACGCCACCCCTCCCTTCCTGCTCCTGGCTGAGCAACAGCAACTGCTTCCTTGCATGAGCCCTGCTGATCGTTTCTGTGGGCTGATTCATTCCACCGGCTAGGCAAAAACCCTACTTACACCACTATATCACGGGCCAGTTACTTCTTCTCTGGTCTGGTAAGCTGAAACAGCTTGCCGCAGGGTCAGACAAATTCTAGGGAGGTGCAAAGAGGAACAGGAGATGGTGGAGGAGAGGCAGGGGTGAGCTAGATCCGCTCGGCTATCTTGAGAAACTTTACCCTTAAGTTTCTGTTTAGCCTTCCCCTTCCCCGAACTGAGTTTTCATTTGGGCTCTGTTTCTGCTGATTCTGGCAATTGGCTTCCTATCCTATAGGGACCGCTGGAAAATTATCATGCTTTGCTTTCTGCTGAGGTGATGGGTTAATCCCAACTGCCCTGCCCACCGGGGAGAGGTTTTCTCTGCTGCTGCTCCCTCCCGGCAGTCTTGCAGCATATATGGGCAATGTCCAGAGGGTGTTGGCCAGCTGGTAGGGGATAGTTGGAGAGCTGAATGTTTGCTTGAGATCAAGCCAGTTTGCTATGTGTGATTAATAATTACACTTTTGTGCTGGTCTAAATAATGTGACTTAGTCAAAACTTGGGCTTGGTAACTGTCTGTCTCCACAGATATTACTATGTCTGATTTTACGGTTGTACTCTAGGAATTAGTTTCTGGCTTTTTTCCTTTTTTCAGATAAAAAACGATATGCTGGTGTCAAGTATTAAATTGAAGCTTCATTCTTCTAACACATTTTAAAAATCAAGTTAAAAAAATATATATGTAAACATGATTACACCTGAAAGCGAATGCTGTAAGCGACACCATGTTCAGCCTTTGCCCTTTGTTCTCCACCAAAGCAAAGTTCTGTGTGCAGGGGTGTCTGCAGAGAGCGCTTTCCCTTCCTCTGCCCCCGCGCCTGGAGAAATGACTCTTGGAAGATCTTCCTGTGGGCGTTTCTTTTCTCCCCCTGTTCATCTGCCACCCGCAAAGAAGCTTTAAGCCAGCTGGCGGATGCCAGTCAAATTCAGTGAAAGGCTTTCTATTATGCCCAGTTCTTAGAAAGTTCAAAAAGCAAAGGAGGGTAACCTGGGTTAGTGCCTCCAGCCAGCAGCTAGTTCCTGCCAGCCTGCATGTGTGCAGCCCAGACAACCTACAGCACGTGCTTTTCCTCGCCTGGTACTGATGTCAAAAAGGACGTGGGGTTTACAGTGGATGGGGAGGAGGAGGAATTAAGAAGGCATGTTCTACTTTCTTATGAATTCATGCTCTTCCTTCAGTCTTCTGGCTGTGGAACAAAATAGGTGGAGGTTTTTTTATTTGTTTTGCTATATCACCTAAGCTTTTTTTTTTTTTAAATGTTAGTACTGCTGGAGTAACTAATAAAACACTAACTTCTGCCATGGTCTTAAATCTTATTAAAAATTAAATGAAAGGCAGGTATTTTCCTTTTTCTCTCTCCTATATGAACATGCACACATGACCAATTACTTTGAAGAGAGTTTCCTTGTGATCTCCTAGAACAGGTGAGATTTGTAACAAAATTTCTGTTAAATGTACTCAATAACCTTCAAGTTTCCAATCTTCTGAAGAAAAAGGGAGTCAGCTGCAAAAGCCTCAATTATTTTACAGTGTTCTTCAATGCAATAGTATCTAATGAATAGCAGTCCACTTGCTTTGAGTGCTGGCATTCAGGAGCTATGCAGACTGGTATCATCAGCGCCGCAGAGGTGAATGATTTTGGAAATTCCTCCACAGACACATTTTTGGTTGGGAGAGATGGCAAACATCAAAAAGACAGCTTGTGGAACATGTAAATAAAATCTACGTAGTTTAAAAAAGAAATTTGGAAGCCATGAAAGCACCTTTGTAGCACCTTAGATTTATGGGCAATTCAGGAATTGAAAATTCTGCACAAATGGGGAATGATACATCTCTTTCAAGTAATAGCCTGCCTGTGAATGTGCTTTGCCTTCTGCAGGTCTACGTTCCCACCTGCAGCACTACTTAAGGGTGGGAACCCCTGGTGTCGGGCATTGCTTACCAATAAGACTCTCCCATCTATGTGGGGTTTTTGTTTCTAAATGTTACAGTAAAGACATGCTTAAATATTTTTTTCCTGCCTTATTTCATTAATCAACATGCCTCTCCCTTTTGTAACTAGGAGAGAGATCACTGGAAATCATGTGGGAATGTAGTTTTCTGGAAGTGTAAACTATGGATGGTTATAACTACAATTTTTCTAGTATTCTTCCTGGTTATTCTCATCAGCCTAATTCTTTATTCTAGTAAGTATCTCACTCTTGGTTTGTCCTCTAATAAGAATGTACGATATGTACAATCTAATATAACACAAATTGAACAGTATTATCTTTTAAACTCCTTCTGTAAACTGCTGAAGGGACTGGGATGCTGACTGCAGAGGGTGGTGTCTTGAGCAGTGGATGTGAATGCTTTGATTTTAGCAGGCAGTAAGCAACTTGTATCCTGATCAGATGGCAATTTCAGTTTGTAGCTAAGTGAGAAAATGTTACAAGAACAGAATCGGGAATGAGGATGGAAATGGTGTTTATAACATTGCAACGCGTGCAAAGGATCACTTACGTCCCCTTGTGTGGTGTCAGTGCCCGTCAGGTTCCCAAAGCAGCTGACTTCTGCTAATTGGGGCAGGTGATTGACCTGAATGTGCTGCCATTTTTCTTCAGGTGACTGGCACTTTCTTTCTGTCACTCCCAGTCAGTCATTACCTAGGAAATTTGTGAGAAAGTCACCCTGGAGAAAGCAAAGATGTTTGGGTTTTTTTTTCCAATACTTCTGCTAACTGGAACTTTTTCCTCCCCTTTCTATGTCCTTTTCAATATTAGATGTTTACACAGATGAGGATGACTATTGGGATCCTGATGCACTACTAAATTGTCGCAATTTTTCGGGAACGTTGAAGTTAATGTGTGGTCTCCCACACCTTTTCTCTGAAAACATTACTGAGAAGGTATGTGTTGATGTGGTTCTTGCAAAGCTGATTCTGCTTGTAACATAGATTCAGTGTTTTCCTTTTTAAGCAGTTTCTGTTTCTCTGTAGCAACTCAGTCATTTGCAAGTCCTCAAAAATTCTGAGTTGTACTTTTTCTGGTACAATTTTAAGTCTTGATCTAGAAAAAATAATTTTTTGTTTTTAAGCACACAAGCAGTTTACATTGATTTAAAAAAAAAAAAAAGTGCCTGATTTTTTTCCCCCAAATTTGAGTAATCATTGGGACATAGTCTTCACCTTTTTCACAGAATCATTGAATAATTTAGGTTAGGAAGGGCCCGTGCAGGTCATCTAAAACCAGTGCTGGCTAAAAATCCTGTGTGTTGCATTCTCCTGTAAGTACAAACCTGGGTTTATAGCTGCCATTTCCATTGAGCCATCACAGCTCTGAGTTACAGCTGAAATAAGTTCAGCAGTATGGCAGTGCTGATTCAAACTTACTCTGGAAAGGAAGTCTCAATAGAGAGACCCTTCCCTCTACCAAGTAAGAATAGAAGGGCTTTTTGGTACTAATAAAAAGCCAAGTCAAACAACATAAATTGCGGACGGCAACATGAGCACACGCTTTTAGTTCACCCTGAATGCCTCCATTGTGTTAAGGTAATATAGTAATCACTCAAATACGCAGATTAACTTGTCTGTCAAGCTTAAAGGGATTGTGTACCTTTTCCAGGGCAGATATTTGCTGATATTTGACCTTCAGCACCTGTATTTATGCCCCTTAAAACACCTTGTAAGAATGATTTGCTGTACTTTCTTTTATGGGAAAAAGAGAGAGTGAATAGAAGAAATATTTTTTCTTTTTTCTTTTCTTTTTTTGTCTCCAAGTTAACAGATGTCTACAGTTCATCTCCAGCTCTAGGACGCTACTTTAGGTCAGCTCAGGTGGTTTCTTTCAGGTAAGCAATTTCTGTCACCAAAATTATCTGAAAATTCCAGGCTTTTGATGAGACATACATACGCCTATGTAAATATGCACAACATTTAAATCTGTGAAAACTAGGTTGTTTGGGGGAAAGTTACATATATAGGTAGTGAAAGCCAGTTGAAGCATTCTCTGGTGTAAATGGCAAGTGCTGCTAATAATATATAATGACAGTAACATTTTGCTGCTGTTAAGTATTCTCTGTTGTGTTTGGTTGCAAGGGCAGCCCATAATAAATGTATTCAGGGATACTTACTAAAAGGAAAATGAACTGCTGGAACCACTTGAGACTGACATGGCTTAAATAGCCTTAAATAAATAAAATAGGGTTCATGGGGAGGGGAAAATATTTTGTTCGCACAAGAGCTAAAGGCAACAGGGACATACAAGTTGTGAGAGCCAAAACAGTAATATTGTATTGCTGGTTTGTTTGGACCACTTTTCCCCCCTCACTTTATTTTGGACAACACGAGCAAATCTCAAAGCAGCAGCATGTTGGAGAGACTGGTGGAACAACAGCGAGAGGCACAGCGGCTGGGGGGGGGGGGGGGGGGGGGGGGGGGGGGGCCGGCGGGTTGGGGCCGAGCCGGTGGCGGTGACGCAGCTGCTGGCCCATCTGGCAAAGCAGCTGCCCCGGGGGCCGGGGGCTTGCACGCACGCGCGGTGTCGTTGTTCGCACAAGAGCTAAAGGCAACAGGGACATACAAGTTGTGAGAGCCAAAACAGTAATATTGTATTGCTGGTTTGTTTGGACCACTTTTCCCCCCTCACTTTATTTTGGACAACACGAGCAAATCTCAAAGCAGCAGCATGTTGGAGAGACTGGTGGAACAACAGCGAGAGGCACAGCGGCTGGCGGAGTGGAGGCTAGGCTAGCCTGGGTGGGAGACTCTTACACGTGAAGGAGAAGCTCAGCCACCAAAGGCTGGTGGAGCTGGAGGAGTAGCAGTGGTGGGAAGAAGGGGAAAAACATCCAGGCCTGCCTTGCAGAGGCAACAGAAAGCTTCAAGCTGGAACAGAGTGAGGATCTTACCCTCGGCAGAAACTGGCACTGGAGGAAGGCTAAGGAGTTTACTGTGTTTGAGACTGTAAAGTTGTAAGCTATGGAGATACCACACATTTACAACAGCAGGGAGGCTGAGCAGCAGAGGGAAAAGTGGGGCTGGAAAGATCAGCTGCAGCATGGTCCTGGCATGGAGAGATAGCAGAGAGGCAAGGGAAGGCAGTCAGAGGGCTTCCCCAAGGACTTCTGAAAAAGCACTGTTATAAAAGGGATTAGAAAGACAGGAGAAAATCAAGGGAAGTAGATTTGCAAAGTCTCAAGGCCCTTGAGAGAGCAAGGACAGAGGAAGAGCCCACTTGGGCTGTGGCAAGAGGCAGTCCTGAGGGCACTCTGGGGAATGTGCTTCCCTGCACTGCCAACCTTGGACGTGCTGGCTCTGTTCAATGAGTGAGCTGTAGCTCCTTAGCCTGACAGGGAAAAATTATGATTTAGACCGTCAGTACAAAGCTGTAGTTCTGAATACATATTGACTAGCTGATATCTCTCTCTCTGCCTCTTTGTTTGTGTGTGTGTCTGTGTCTCCTTTTCCCCCATCCAACTACTTTTTTGATGTTTTAAATTCTGTGTGTACAAAATGTAACTGTCAAATTGTAGTCAGTGGATTTGGTAGATCACAAACAATGAAATCTCCAGAGATGAGCTCCAGTTTGGTGGTTTGTGTAATCCACTACAGAGCTGAGTTAGGAGCACAGCTGGCTGCCCCCAGGTACTGCTAGCAGGAAAGCAAATCTTTCTGCAGGTTCTCAGCTAACCTGTGCATGAGATACTGCAGCAGCTCTTATCGTTATGTACTTGTGTGGCACAAGTGCTGAAAACCTCACCGCATTAAGACATGTGTCCAATTGCCCTTTGTGCATTTGAAAACAAGTGTCAGGTTGGCTTCAGGTACGTGCCCAGTTTCTGTTAATGTCAAGAGCTGCTCTGAGGGAGGAGAAGGAAACTAGAATCTTTGATGGCAGTTTTCTTTTATAATGCTTTTCTTTAGAACAAGTTTAAAAAAAAAATCTACACCAACATTGATATGAAAAGTCAGTCTTCTCAAAAAAGAGAAGATCCAGTGGGGACCTGAAGGCATTCATACTTGACTTTTGTTTTTCAGTAATGAAAGCTCCACTGTATTTTATCAGCTAGAGTTTTCTGTACCACCATCAACAGAGGGGTTTATGGAAAACACAATGAACCCAGATTTTATAAGGAGCGTTTTACTTCAGAATATTTATGATGAAGATGATACTTTTAATCCTGCGACGTCCGAGTGTAACAGGTTAAAGCTTGACCCAAGTTCTCTCACGTTAACATGTAAGTGCTGTACATTAGAGAGACCATTTCTTTATAAAGAGCAGAAGTATTTACTTGAAAGGAGGGAAATCTTTCTGGAAAGATGTTGAGATTAGTTAGTAAATGTATTTTGCACAACAGTATTAAGAAAATTGTAAAATTTTCAGTTTTCAAGGAAGTCTTGCTATGCTTAGTATATAACCTGGGATTCACTGTTTGGTCATCTGATGAGAAAGGGGATAGTGATGAGACTGGTTAGCTACAGACTCCAACCAAACTTTTCAGACCTTCTCTTGCATTTTATGCATACAACGAAAATATCCTCATATGTGTGTACCATAATGGTGAGCCAAATAATTAAAAATGTTTATCCTTATTGTATATTCATATTTGAGTGCTTATAAAACAAATTTTAATCCAAGTAAAACAGGATAAGTAATTTGGGAATGAACTTCTGATTTTTTCATAGTCAAGGATGAAAAAGTCTCCTGATTTTTGTCTTTTTGGAGTTTTTCGGGAAAATTTATTATGCACAGAGATACTTTTTAAAGGAATCAAATGTTCATTCTTGATGGTTCCAATGCATTTAGATTTGTCTTGATTGAAATGTCAGTATAAAAGTCCTATGAGCTTTGCAGTTTTACTGAAAACAATGCATGGAGCTGCGTCCCCCCTCCCCCCCCCCAACTTACTGAGCCACACCTATGTGCTTTCAGAATAATTCTAGGCTAACACAATACCATACAGTGTATGTAAGTAAGATTTGCAATTAACTCATATTGATTTTCATTAGTGCTCTTATCAAGGGACAAAAGAGCAAGAAGTCAGGAGTTCCAATTCTCCTTATATGTTGACAGGTTTCATAGAAAATGCAGTGTAAAGAAAAGTGCAGAAAGAATATGTTGAAATATCTAACTAAAGTTTCATTTTAATGTTAATAATGTACTGTTTTAACTTTCAGGGAAATGATGGAAAGACTCCTCATCTTCCTTACCGCCTAGAAGACATGGGCTTCTCCTGTCTATTAGTAATGCCAGGGTAGGGAGCTATTCATTAGGTAGAAACACTTCTAAAGACATTGTCCTGTAAATATTGTCTGTGATGCAATATTGTAAATGGAAAATGTGGTATATTTATAACAGTGTTGCACTCCTATAACACCACTACCTCCTTCTTTATTGTTGCCCTGATATCTCAATAGCCCATTTCACTCTTCTGAAAATCATGTATCTTGTCTGATGCATGCTCTGTTGGCTTTGAAACTTCTGCTTTGTCTTGCTTTACGATTAAATCTGGATTCCCTGCACGAGCTTTAAAAGCAGTCTTGCACATGGCTCCTTTCTTCTTCTCTTGGCTTATCCAAAAGGATCTGCACAGCTTCATCCTTAATGCTCACTTCCACCCATGCTCATGTCTGTTATTTTTTTCCCTGCTAACTTCATGTGCCATGTTTCCCTGTTGTTCTTCCCTCATAAAACAGCCTGAAAACTTAAATATCCTCTCTATTTTCTTTAATTACGTGCAAGACCTTTGCACTAGCTTCCTAAGTGAGCTTCAACTCTTATCATTCCCTTGTTCATCCTGCAGTCTTCCTGGATAAGGTGGTATCTGCTCTATTTTTCTCTTCTGTAAACTGAAATAGAAATGAAGGAACAAACACCAGGAAGAAACATGTCGTGCTCACTAATGCATCTGAATGCCACAGGAATCTTTCAAGGGTCTAATTAGCTGTGTGCTTTAATAATTAGCTACTGATACTAGTAAATAGACAGCTATTTGACCCACATTTGTAAATTCAAAGAGAAACCAGTCTATACCCTTAATTATAGTCTCTGTCCCAGCAGTGGGGATAAAAATGAACAGATGCAAGATATTTGCCTTAATAAGGCAGAAAATAGTTGTTCTTGTTGGCAAGAGATCAGATGAGATGGACCAATGCCAAGAGGAAGGTGCTGAAGCAGACCATGTAGACCAGTGTGGCATGAGAGTTATAGCCAGTAATTGGCTATAACATGAAAATTAAAAATTAAGCATTAACTTTACACAGAATGGAATGGATTCACTACCATGTTAGTGAAGTATAGTGCTTTGTCATTTGTTTATAGCCAGTGTAAATGTTAGTGCTGTTGGACAGACAAATTTATTTTAAGAAACCTTTTGTATTTGAGAAATATCTTACTGTATTTCTCTTTTTCTAATATTACTAGTTTATTTAAGGAGTAATCTGACAATTTTACTGTGCATTAAATTATTTATTTTTACTCTTAAATTGATTGTTTTCATTCTTCAACATCTCCGGTCTTTCAGCTGTTTGAGTTGGAAAATAACCATTGGAATTCTAAATGCTGAGAGCTGTATGAAGCATCTTCTGACAGAGCCATGCACTCAAACCTGTATTTGTTGTTTCTTGAGTTTTAACAGAGATTGGGAAACAGACTGGACCAAATTAGTAGTTCACATGGCTCTCGTGTGTGGCTAATTCTGACCCCATCTTGATTTGTAAGATGTAGCGTTGGCTGTAAGAACCATAATTTCTCCTGATGAAATATTCTATGCAGCGTACAACTAGAAGAGATAATCCTTCCGATTCTTACATTGGGCAAGGATAAAATTTGTGGTTTGTATGGTTTGTCCCAAAAGCAGCAGGCTATGAAAATACCAGCAGCAAAGAAATAATTTGCCTTAGAGATAATGCTGGATCTTATTGCTCTTACTGAGATGACTGAACCTGCCCTTGAACAGTTCTTTATCTTGATTCTGTTTCTAAGAACTGAAAAATAATATAATGATTATGCTTCTTTCTGGTGATATCCCTATGTGCTTTAAGAGTCAACAGAAAAAAGGAGGAGACAAGCATTCAATTTTTTTTTTCCCAGCCATCCTCCTCTGCCCCAGTACTTTTAGAGGTAAGAAGGAGGTGGAGTTGTAGCAAGGTGCTGTGATATTCACCAGAAAATGTCCAACTTTACAGTTTACCTCCAGTCAAGCTTTGAACTCTTATTGAAGGAAATGTCAAAAAATGACAAAAAGGGGTTTCTGGTTTTATATCCTTGAGGTAAAAGAAAATAACCAAGTGAATTAATTATGACCTCATCCATTTAGGGACAGAGCAGTGTGAAAACACATTATTTCATCAAGTTAGACATTTGGTGTGAATGCTTAATGTTAATTTTAATAGAAGGAGTGTAGGTAGTACTTCAGTGACTGAGGCAACTGAGACACTGCTAAAAAGGAAGAGAAAAGATAGTTCTGGTAATTCAGCCCGTGGAGTGTACAACCAACCCTGTAAAATCCCATGGCAGGCAGTCATCTGTGTAGCCACAGCAGCCAGTACAAATTTTGGGCAAATTCAGCTGCCTGTCACTGCAGTGGTACCTGCAGAGTGCTGTCTGCACCGTGCTAGCAGTGCGTTTGTCCACTGCTGCAGGCAACCATTCACCCGTGGGAGTGCCCCTGGCACCGAAACTGCAGGTACACCATAAAGCCAGGGCAGCAGCCAGCAATCACATACAAAGGAGGATTTAAAATCAGGAAAACTGCTCAACATTTTCTTCCAAAATGTTGTGTCACAAAGATGGAGGGAGAAAAAAAAAACACGCTTAAGCAAGAACACAGGCACATAATCACTTTGAGCTTTGGTGAACGGTTGAATAACTGGTTTCAGTCCTACGCGCATGTCCAGAAATGGTGCTTGCAGAGGGGTGATGGGCTATGGGGAGGTTGTGTTCTGGCATTGCAGAGAGCCAACCTTAAGACTCCAGCAGGAGTGAGTTGGAAGCGTTGTGTCACGGAGGCAGCACCTGGGAATCTTCTACTGAGAGGTGCGTGGTTACCGCCTGTGCAGCATCAGGCTTCGCAGTCTTCTAAGTGGCTGGAATTTTTGTTTTGCATGTAGTTTGTTGCTTTTTTATTTAATTCCAACTTCATTAAGGCTTCACTCTAAGATAAATAGTATTACATTGGGGGGGGGCAATTTGAGAATTGAGTTATTTATTGAAATTGTACATTGTATAATGGCATATATCAAGCAGGCCAGAGAAACTTTGGAAAAGAGTAAGGGCACCTAACACAGGCTCTGTGCTTTCATTTAAAAAACAACCCCGCCAAACAAACAAACAAAAAACCCAGCAACAAGGAGTGTTGTTATTGTGTTTTTGAGATTTCTATCAACAGTTCTGAAAGACCCCTTTTAAAAAAAAGTACTGTAGAAGTCCACAAAATGTGCAGCCTTGGTTGCTTCTAGTAACGAAGCACCGAATTTTCTATAGAGAAACATTGTCTTACAAAGGCAGTTGCTACTGATTCCTCTTTGTTTAATTGTCAAATCCTCTACCCTGTCCATGTCTTTTTCTGTGGTCCCCTTTTCATGGACAGATTTGTCTCATTGGAAATGACTGGCAGAAGTGTCTTAATGAGTAAGCTTGGTAATATGAGAGAGATGTTTGTTTGAAGACCTGACAGCAGAGGTGGGATAGTTAGCAAGGCTGCATACCGCTGGCTTAAACATTCAAGTAAAAGAGTGCCTTGGGAGCAGAAAGTGTCCCTTTCTAAGTTACCAGGACATACTCATATTCACTGTGCTCTTCAGTGCTGGCAATATTTTCTTTCCCCTTGGACATGTTGACAACTGCATATTCTGTCTGATTATTGGTGTTAATCCCAGAGGTTTCATGTCGTACGTCATGGCTGACAGTAGAGTACCACAGTTCACTGGAACTCATAGAACCTTTTTTGGCAAAACGTTCCTGAGAGGGGGAGAGAAAGAGAGAAAGAAGCTTCAACGTGATTATACCCTGAAGAAGTCTGCAATGTGAACAAATCTGGTATAGCCTGTGTGCTCACACAGTGGTGTCGACCAACGTACATGGTACCGAGAACGGTTTGTAAATCCCCAGCCATTTCCCTACCGTACAGGCTGTGGCTGGACACCAGGAGCACCTAACAGCACGTGCGTGCCTGGTGTGGATGGAGGGTGAGGGCCTGACCCTTGTTCTGAGTCTAATAGCACTTCGGTGGTAGCTTACGTGATAAAAAGCTCATCACCGCACCCACGAGGGAGCACAGTGGCACAACGCAGGTGGGCGAACCCCAGTCATCCCCTGCCCCGGGTGCCCCCAGGGCTGTCCCAGGAGAGCCATCATCCTGGTGGTCCCAGGGTGACATCCACCCAAGGAGTGAATGGGGGCAGCTCTCCAGATCACCTCCAGATCTCCAGATCACAGTTGGGGGTGGAGGGGGAGTTACTGGAGGTATGGGACATATTATCAATGCAGGTCAGGGGAGAGCATTTGGGGTTTATGCGAGACTTATTATGGGATGTTTATGGGAGGAGCTAAAGGGAGGGATCAGGGTGATTTGCAGAACAAGAAGCATGGGGAAGTAGTGGAATAAAGGGAGGGCCAGGGGAGCGGCAGCCAACTGGCAGAGAGACTGTAGGGTGTGGGAGTCAACTGAGACTCCAAGAGTGTGTGTGCGCGTGTGTCTGTGCAGGAGACACACTGTCCTGGAAGGGGCCCTGGCCTCACAGGAGATGCAGCGATGGCTAACCCCCTCCCTGGCGATCCTTGTCTAATGCTCTCCTTGAAAACAGAGGGAGGAGAAGGAAGAGCCGTTAACGAAGGAGGAGGTAAGATTGTGTGGGTAAATGCCTTCTCAGCTCTGTTTAGACTTGTCCCTCCTTTTGCCTCTTGAAGGTGTTTGCTAATGGGTTGTGGGTGATTGTGTATCTAAATAGCTACCAGGATGACACCTTAAATCTGAAGGGACAACATGAACTGATTAAATATTCGGAGCGAGAAGTTAAGAATTTGTTTGCCCTGATGCTCTTGGTTTGAACCCACTGGATAATAAAGCCAATGAGTAAGTACGGGCTTTATAGTGTCATCCTCTATTGTCTGCAGCAGTAGCAGCATCTTAAGTGGGTGTTGCTGAGTGCACACTGACATTTGTAGCAACCTTTCATACTCTGTAAGTGGAACAGAGGTCTCTGCCCCACGGGTTAATAAACCCAAAGGGTTCTCTTTTATTTTTCAAACCTAGAAGTGAGAAATAGTTGTTAGAACCTAAT